TACACAGCAATGCTGTTTCAGACATTATGAGTGCTGTGCATTCACTCATTGTGACTGGCCAATGGAGTGAACCAACACATGGAAACTTTCTCTCTTTTTCTGTGTCTCTCTTCCCTCCTCAAGAAATACATTTCTAAAATCAGTTAAAAGGTTAAGTACCTCAAGTGTTAGTAAATAGTCATATTTCGTGAGTTTAAGTAAAATCTTGAGTTATAAAATGATATCTATACATGGACCCATAGTACACTATTCTCAAGCACTTTTATAGAACAAGATCTATCATTCTTGTCTATTAAAAAACAATGAGGTGGTGATCAATTTGTTTATATGTCTTTGCTGTGAATTAAAACACTTTTGTAGGATAAATATCTAAAGTATTATTTTCCCAAGAATTTTTGTCTTCCTTGTTGTTTAAAATTGTGGATAATATTTAGATGTATATATTTGTTTCCTAAAACAAAGTACAGAATAATAATATGTACAAGGAGCTTTGACTAATAAACAACCTAGTATATTATATATGGTGTGACAATTGAAAAAAATAAAGTACATTTCCTACCTTTCTACTGCAGTAGAAAAAGAACCTTCAATCAAATAAATATAATTCAAAAAGTGTGATAGTTTTAACACTTAAAATTTTTGTCTGATTATGAAAAAAATATATCTGTCTTTTGTTAGCAGTTTTCATGTGAGAGAAGGATGGCAGAGATTGTGTTTATGTATTTTCAAGAAATCATAGCAATCAACAGTGTACATCTAATCTTTCACACTGTAATATTTATTGGAATTCTAATAGAATGCATTTATATACATTCTATAGGACACCCTATTCTTAAGTGTCCCTCACTAATCATCCAGATTCCCCTCCTGGTTATAGACTTACCAGGAGGGCTGCAATAAAGCCTGAGGAAGAGAATATGATCCAAACTGTGGATACTGTAGTGATACATCCCACATCTCATCTCATGGATTGAGCCGTTTTCAGAAACATCTCCCTTGAGAAAGCACTGATTCACAGAGTTGGGACCTTGTCCCTGGATGCAAGTACAATATTGACTCTGGTCAGTATCAGCCAGAATCACATAACCCAAAAATCAGCTCAGTACTGACAGGGGCAGTAGTAGATATGGGGCAGGCACTTGTACACTCAGAACTGAGGGCTCTTTCTGCCTTGCCTTCCAGTTATATGAAGCTGCCACATAACAAGGTTCTGTGGACTGTGGGCAAATCAGCAGTTAGCTGAGCCCAGGCACATTTCTCCCCACCCCTGCCTTCTGCCAATCAGGTAAACTACTGGGTTTGGCCCAGGCCCATTAAGCCCACCTGGGATGCCAATTGACCTTCAAGCTGATTTGATAGGCATATTGGCACCAGTGTCCATTCTGTCCAATGGTTAGTGTTCCACAGAGTTGGTTACACCCCTTTTACCTGTCCTTTATAATGTATGTGCCTGTGATTAAAAGCAGGCATGTTCACAGAAGTCTGCCCCCCAGCTTCTTGTGTGGCAAAGCGACTCAGCAACATGGTGAAAAATAGCCACCCACATCTTTAAGCTCTGCTTCTCCTCCTGCACTCATTTAACCCTGCATCCCCTGCCCAGACCATGGGTGGGGATGGGGGAAAACAGGGCTTGGGTGCACTTGTGATATAGAGAGTGCTCTCACAGACCTGTCCCAGACTTGTATTGGCTTCCCACCAGTGGGCAAACTCTGTGCGGGGAGGGAACCTCGCTCATGACTACTGTGGCATCCACAGGCACCATGGCAACCTGCATTCTGGCAGCTGTCATGTGCACCGGCCCCAGACCACCATGAGGGATGAGGGCAGTGCCCATTCCAGCAAGCCCAACCTGGGCTCCCATGGCTCTGCAGGCTACTATGCCAACCTGCTGCAACTAAATTCAGACGCAAAAGAGAAAGACTTTTCAATTTAACCCTATAATTACCATCACAGGATGTCCCCACATTGTAACTGAATACCAAGAAGAAACTTTTCTCTTTGAATCCAGAATCACTGCCTTCAAAAATATTGCTTTGTAACTCACTGAATTTACTTTGCAATCTATATTTTAGCAGGTTTCTGATGCTATAGCAATAGGTTATTGATCAGTGCTCAGTGAAAATAGCAATGCATAATCAATGCTAATTATAGATAAATACAATTTTAACTTTGAGTAAGTTCAGATAGAGATATAATATCAGAATCTTAAGTCATTTAGGTTAAGTGCTAAATGTAAAATAGTTCAATAGCACTTAGAAGTAAATAAGCTCAAAATTTGATGTGTTATCTTATTTTTAAAAACGTTGTCTTAATTTGGAGATTTCTAAAGGGTGATTTCAAAATGTAAATCAAGGAAAGGGTAGATGAAAAACAAGCTATTAGTCTATTTGATGTAGAACTAAAATCTGTTAAAACAACGTGGTTTTCACAATACAGATGTTAGTAAATATCCAAAGTAGTGTCAAAAATCTATGCAAAATCCCACAGCAACTCCTTTTGATAGCTTTGTTTTAATTGGTGACTCTGCTTAGTTTTCTAGCCAGCTCCAGCAAGATATTCTCTCTTCCCTAGTTCTGACTGTGTTAAAACTTCCAAATTAGGGGATTTCATTCAGTACACCAGCTCTTAAATTCAAGGTTTTATTTATAATTTTTGGCACAACTAAAAACTGCAGTTTTTGTATCATGTTAAAGTAACCTATTATGTTCTCTTAATATCTAAAATAGCTGAGGTTTTATTTGAGCTATGATTTGTTTAAATATATACTTATTCTAAAACATGTGAGTAAGCACCTGATAACCACGATCAGATGTGGCCTATAAGACATCATGATGTAAAAGAATTCTATTTCAACCAGATATTTTGGATTTTGAGCCCTCTTAGCTTCCTTGACAGGCATTCAAAAAATTAAAATTCCAAAAAATTTGGGCTTTGAAATTTCCAGATAGGCCCATGGAAGTGACAAAGGCACATGTCCGTCATCTTGTAGAGACACCAACTGATCAGGCTATTTGAATTATATTAGACGTACTGTCAAGATGTGAAACAGTGCTAAATTTTACGTTTTGATAATATAAAGTGTTACTGATACAAATGTCTAAAGGTTAAAATGTCTAATGATCTTGTATTACTAGATGTGATGGTTATCTTAATGAGAAACGGCCAGAGGAATAGAAGGGTTAATTCTCTTACAAGATCCTACAGGTGCTTTTAAAAATACTGTATGGAGTAAGCATGTGCCTCTTTTTGGTTAATGAGTTCATAATTTTAAACATGGCCAGCTCACTAGGCTAATCCTCTGCCTGTGGCGCCAGCACCCCAGGTTCTAGACCTGGTTGGGGTGCCAGTTCTGTCCCGGTTACTCCTCTTCCAGTCCAGCTCTCTGTTGTGGCCTGTGAAGGCAGTGGAGGATGGCCCAAGTGCTTGGGCCCTGCACCCGCATGGGAGACCAGGAGGAAGCACCTGGCTCCCACTTCGGATCAGCGCAGTGCACTGGCCATAGCAGCCATTTGGGGGTGGACCAACAGAAGGAAGACCTTTCTCTCTGTCTCTCTAACTCTGCCTGTCAAAAAAAAAAATGGCTATTTGAATTCTTCTTATCCACAGTTTTGAGTTTTGTATACCAGACCTGCTGCTCATAAAACTAAAACATTGTTGTTTCTGTGTTTAAATGTGTCATTTTAGGTTTCAAAGGACCTCTTTTTTTCTGACTTCTATTTTGTTCAATATTCTGGGACAGTCCTGTAAGCAGATAAAGCCAAAAATGTACTGGGTTCCAATTTCAAGAAGTTTCATTAATCTAGATTACTAAGAACAGAAAGTAATTAGTTTTTGGTAATAAAAACAGCTAAATATTTTAGAAAACTCTTACTAAAACTGCTTCATTGTTCTATCTTGTGTTATGTTATGCATGTTTACATATTGTATGTCTACATAGGAAAATTTATTAAGAGCTCTGTGTTAATTGGCTTATAAAGATTGCTCATAAATTTAAACTGCTAAAATTAATCAAAGATACATTTGATTCAGGTGACCTAAATCTCTATGTCAGATGTTTTAAATCTATTGGTGGCTGGCGCTGCACCTCACTAGGCTAATCCTCCACCTTGCGGCACCGGCACACCGGGTTCTAGTCCCGGTCAAGGCACCGGATTCTGTCCCGGTTGCCCCTCTTCCAGGCCAGCTCTCTGCTGTGGCCAGGGAGTGCAGTGGAGGATGGCCCAAGTACTTGGGCCCTGCACCCCATGGGAGACCAGGGTAAGTACCTGGCTCCTGCCATCGGATCAGTGCGGTGCGCTGGCCGCAGCATGCTGGCCACAGCGGCCATTGGAGGGTGAACCAACTCTAAAGGAAGACCTTTCTCTCTGTCTCTCTCTCTCACTGTCCACTCTGCCTGTCAAAAAAATTAAATTAAATTAAAATAAATCTATTGGTAAGATGAAACTAAAAATGCTTCATATGTGTGTGCTTAAATTTGCTAGTTAAGCAACAAACACGTATTCTTAAAATTTATAAAATACATTGGACCTTCTAGTAAATATTTTCGTAAGTTGTTATTTAATGGCTGAAACTACTATTTCCTCATTTCTCTATTCTCTTTAAGTTGGGAAACTGACTCTGTGCTGAGGGATTCTCCAGGATATACAGTATGATTTCCAGATCTTATGAAAGGAGGGGCTAACAATGTTACATAATGGCAAGAGCAAAATGAGAGCTTAAATTGTAACTTTACAACCAAATTTGCTTCACCATGGATCTCAAATCCCTTTGCGCTAGATGGTGAAGCTTTAATGTGATTATGCAGATTAGATTAAGTTTTCAAATTACCATGTTAGATTGGATTTTTTGAAAGTGGTCACATAGATAGGATTAATGGTTCTAGTGATCATATAATAAAATTAATGCAATTATAGAGAAGTGAATGCTCCAACACGGGAAGGAGTTCTCACAGAAGACTCACAGAGTGGCAATCACTTTAATTAGCACTCAGTGACCTCAGAATTAGCCCTAAAGGCATTCTGGTCTGGCGAAAGGCTCACAAGAATATTTCAGGTGTGGAAATCCAGGACACATGTGGGAAATGTGTTCCTGCATGGAGAATCTCCCTGGGTGAAATCCCAGTGGAAAAAAATGGTCATCTTTTCCAGAAATTCTTTGCCTGTTCCAATATCTTGAAGGGTTTCTCCAATGTTCTCTAGTAACTTGATGGTGTCAGGTCGTAGATTTAGGACTTTAATCCATGTTGAGTGGATTTTTGTGTAAGGTGTAAGGTAGGGGTCTTGCTTCATGCTTCTGCATGTGGAAATCCAGTTTTCCCAGCACCATTTATTGAATAGACTGTCCTTGCTCCAGGAATTGGTTTTAGATCCTTGATCAAATATAAGTTGGCTGTAGATGTTTGGGTTGATTTCTGGTGTTTCAATTCTGTTCCATTGGTCTATCCATCTGTTTCTGTACCAGTACCATGCACAGGCAGTCAAAGCCAAAATCAACTGTTGGGATTGCATCAAATTGAGAAGTTTCTGTACTGCAAAAGAAACAGTCAGGAGAGTGAAGAGACAACCAACAGAATGGGAAAAAATATTTGCAAACTATGCAACAGATAAAGGGTTAATAACCAGAATCTACAAAGAGATCAAGAAACTCCACAAAAACAAAACAAACAACCCACTTAAGAGATGGGCCAAGGACCTCAATAGACATTTTTCAAAAGAGGAAATCCAAATGGGCAACAGGCACATGAAAAAATGTTCAAGATCACTAGCAATCAGGGAAATGCAAATCAAAACCACAATGAGGTTTCACCTCACCCCGGTTAGAATGGCTCACATGCAGAAAGCTACCAACAACAGATGCTGGTGAGGATGTGGGGAAAAAGGGACACTAACCCACTGTTGGTGGGAATGCAAACTGGTCAAGCCACTATGGAAGTCAGTCTGGAGATTCCTCAGAAACCTGAAGATAAACCTACCGTTCAACCCAGCCATCCCACTCCTTGGAATTTACCCAAAGGAATTTAAATTGGCAAACAAAAAAGTGGTCTGCACCCTAATGTTTATTGCAGCTCAATTCACAAAAGCTAAGACCTGGAACCAAATTAAATGCCCATCAACGGTAGACTGGATAAAGAAATTATGGGATATGTACTCTTTAGAATACTATACCGCAGTAAGAAACAATGAAATCCAGTCATTTGCAACAAAATGGAGGAATCTGGAACACATCATGCTGAGTGAAATAAGCCAGTCCCAAAGGGACAAATACCATATGTTCTCCCTGATCGGTGACAACTGACTCAACACCAAAAAGGAAAACTGTTGAAGTGAAATGGACACTATGAGAAATCGTGACTTGATCAGCATAGCCCTGACTGTTAATGAACAACTTAATACATTATCCCTCTTAGTAGTTTTTTTGTCTGTTCTACTTAATATGACTGGTTTAATTCTGTAATTAATACACAGTTATTCTTAAGTGTTGAAATTTAACTGAAATGTGATCCCTGTTAAACATAAGAGTAGGAATAAGAGAGGGAAGAGATGTACAATTTGGGACATGCTCAAGCTGACTTGCCCCAAATGGTAGAGTTAGAAACATACCAGGGGACCCCAATTTAATCCCATCAAGGTGGCATGTACCAATGCCATCTCACCAGTCCAAGTGATCAATTTCAGTTCACAATTGATCATAATGAAAGGACTGAGAGTCAAAGGGAGCACATAAACAAGTCTAGTACCTGCTAACACTAACCGATAGAATAAATAAAGGGGAGAGTGATCCAACATGGGAAGCGAGATACTCAGCAGACTCATAGAATGGTGGATGTCCTAAACAGCACTCTGGCCTCAGAATCAGCCCTAAAGGCATTCGGCTGGCTGAAAATCCCATGAGAGTATTTCAGGCATAGAAAGCCAAGACACTCTGGCAAAAAGATCTCTGTGAATGAGATGCAAGTGGAAAGAACAGGTCTTCAAAGAAGGAGGTACCTTTCTCTGAAGGGAGGAGAGAACCTCCACTTTGACTATGACCTTGTCTAAACAAGATAAGAGTCGGAGAACTCAAGGGGCTTCCATAGCCTTGGAAACTCATGACTGGAGCATAGGGAGATTACTGATGCCATAGACAGGAGTGTCAATTGGTAAAGTCAACAACAGGAGTCACTGTGCACTTACTCCTCATGGAGGATCTCTGTCCTTAATGTGCTGTGTGTTGAGATTTAATGCTATAACGAGTACTCAAACAGTATATTTCACTTTGTGTTTCTATGGGGGTGCAAACTGTTGAAATCTTTACTTAATGCATACTAAACTGATCTTCTGTAAAAAAAAAAAAAAAAGAAATTATGAATTCCCAACTAGACTCTCACTGGCATTAAACATGACAATAGGTCTGATCTGATTTCATCATCATTTAAAAAAATCATCTATTATTTTTCACTTTATGTTTCTGTGTGGGAGCAAACTGTTGAAATCCTTACTTAATGTATACTAAGCTGATCTTTGTATATTAAGATAATCGAAAATGAATCTTGATGTGAATGGAAGGGGAGAGGGAGCGGGAGGGGGGAGGGTTGTGGGTGGGAGGGACGGTATGGGGGGAAGCCATTGTAATCCATAGGTCGTACTTTGGAAATTTATATTCATTAAATAAAAGTTAAAAAAAAATGTAAAAAAAAATGCAAAGAAAAATGTGAAGGATTTGAACTGCACTCTGGAGGTAATGTTTTGAAAACTAACAACATTAGTTATGTATACTCTGGTAGTGCTTCCTCAGCAAGGGCCTCTCACAGTTGCTCAGGTATGGTTTTAGTATATAGTCTGTCATTTCCTTTTCTAAGAAATGAATAAAAAAGTAAAACTGGAAAAAAAAATGGTCATTAAAGAAAGATGTACTTTTCTCCAAAGGGGAGGAGAGGACTTTCACTTTGCTTATGGCCTTGTCTGAATACTGACAGAGTCTGTGGATTCAGAAGGCTTCTACAGCTTAGGAAGCTCATGTCAAAAGCCTCAGGTGATCACTGATATCACACATGAGAGCGTTAATTGTTAAATTAACAATAGGAGCCACTGTGTATTAACTTCCCATGCAGGACCTTAATACTATCCTTAAAAAACAGAGGGAAGAGTATGGCACCCATCCATGAGCATGTTCACTTTGCCCCTTTCACCTTAAAGATAATCTTTAGTACAGAAGAGTTACATTTTGAATGGTCTTGGCAAAGAAGCCTTCATAGTGCACAGAAAGGATCCTTGTGGCTGTTCCCTTGGTCCAAAGAAATCCTGGGAAGCCTTTATTGTCCTATTATAAAAGAAGGCAAATTGCTGCTTGCAATTTGAATTTCCTATAAGAGGGGACAGTTCCATGGCACAGTGGGTTAATGCCCTGGCCTGAAGAACCAGTGCTGGTTCAAGAACCAGCTACTCCACTTCTGATCCAACTCTCTGCTATGGCCTGGGAAAGCTGTAGAAGATGGCCCAAGTCCTTGGGCCCCTGCACCTGTGTGGGAGACCTGGCAGAAGCTCCTGGCTTCAGATCAGCACAGCTCCAGTTGTTGCGGCGAAATGGGGAGTGAACTACCAGATGGAAGACCTCTCTCTGTCTCTGCCTCTCCTCTTTCTGTGTAACTCTGACTTTTAAATAAATAATTAAAAATCTTTTAAAAATAAAATAAAAATAAATTTCTTACAAGCCTCACCCCCTGGAGAGCCATCAGCAGTGAGACAGTGGAGACCTCTCACAAGTGCAGCCCAATTGCCTCTGGTTTGATGAAGGGACCCGACTACCCACCATTGGGAGGAGCCTGATCCCCTCATAATGATAGGGAGAGGTTTTGATTGTGTCTTTTCAGAGATCATTCTGTGGCCTGTGTAGATACCGGACTGATATGTCAAACCCAAGACCCCAATCTCCAAAGCAGACCCTCTGACAAGCCAACTTCAGTGTCTTTCCTTGAACAAGCCATTCATAGAAAGATCCTCTTCAGATCTGTTGCAGCTTACATGGGCAGGACCTTACCAGGTGCTACTAAACAGGACCACCTCAGTGGAATTAGGGTTCAACGTCTAGCTCTTAAGTCTTCACAGGTGAACTTTAAAGACATGCCTGATTATTCTTGTAAGCCAGAGATCTTAAACAAAAAGATACAGAAAGTCCTTGCCTTTGTCACATCAAAACTGCTACACCCTGAGGCAGTCATGCTATGCCTACCTCTTTTGATTCTCTCTGGGAACTGTTATTGACAATAAATTCCTAATGTGTTCTTCTATTATAATTCTCTCTACTCAAACTAAATGGGTTTATAGTCTATCACTGCTCACTATCTGAGAGTCTTCATTTACAGTTGGTCTTGCTTCAGTTTTGCTCATACTAATTAACAGACATATATTTTAGAACTCAACATTTAGGAGCACATGGCCATGCAGAGGATGCAGACTTTGGAGGTGACCAAGACTACCCCAGCTCACAAGGCAAATTTGTTAGATGAGATAGGAAGAGACTTCCAGACCCATGACAGTCAGGGCCTGTGCATAAGCAGGAAGCAGCTACAAAGATGGGATGATTTTGTGACCCTCAACAACCCCTAGGATTAAGGGAATGGAGTCGCTGAAAGGAAAATGATCTAGGCAGGTATATAGGATAAATTGTGAGCTGGAAGACCACACCCTCAACATGTCCCCTGTGTGAGCTTATGCCCCTTCTTGACCACATCTGTTCACCCACCTGCCAATCAGAAAGGCTTAAAACATGGTGGGCCTGGCCTTTTTCCCCTTTCCCATCCTTGGCTATCTTCCCTGCCCTTGATCCTCATGCTAGGCACCCTTCAGTGTTACCCAATGCTTATTGTAGGGTTGCAACTTGTTGCCATGCCATGCTAAGCAAAGTCACACTCACCCTAAAACAGAAGGGGAAGCTGTGGACAATCTCAACTCTTAGCTCAGCCCAGGCACATTTCTCCCCACCCATGCCTCCTGCCAATCAGGTAAACTACTCTCAGGTATGACCCAGGCCCATTAAGCCCACCTGGGAAGCTATGTGACCTTCAAGTTGATTGGATAGGCATAATGTTACCAGTGTTCATTCTGTCCAATGGTTAGCATTCCCCAGAGTTGGTTACACACCTTTTATCTGCCCTTTATAACATATAAGCCTGTGAATAAATGCAGATATGCTCACTGAAGCCTGCCCCCCATGTCTTTAGGGAGGGAAAAGGCACCACTGCCCTGCTCATCCTCGACAGAGTGGCTTAGCAGGACTAAGCTGCAGTGGACAAGGGTGAGACCTATACTTTAACATGGGCAGGTCCTCTGAGAGGCTGACCTGAGTGTCCTGTGGGTTTGTGTGATAGTTTCTGAGTACCACATTGTCCTCAAGGGACAGCAGCTTCTGTGGGATTCTATACGTGACAAAACCCACTTGTCCCAGAACAGATCTGCAACGCTCCCTTGTCTAGTGCTCACCAGGACCCAACCTGTAGCTGTAACACAACACAAGGTTTACACATCTCTAACCTGAAGACCGGGTTACCTC